GTGGACTTCAAAGCCCCTCAGGTGGACATCAAGGGACCCAAAGTGGACCTGAAGGGCCCCAAAGAAGACTTGAAAGCCCTTAAGGGGGAGGTGGCCACCCCTGATGTGGACATGTCCCTGCCCAGTGTGGAGGTGGACATCCAGGGACCAGACTCCAAGGTAGAGGGTGACATGTCCCTGGGAGACAAAGACTTGGCTGCCAAAGACAGCAAGTTCAAGATGCCCAAGTTCAAGATGCCATCCTTTGGGGTGTCGGCTCCAAGGAAAAACTTGGGAACGTCCGTGGACTTGCCAGGGCCCAAATCAGGTGCGGAGTCTTCCCTGCACTCCCTGGGTGTAGAGATTGCACCTGCTGAGGGGAGCATACCAGTGCTATCTGCTGACATTGCCCTACCAGGGATGGAGCTGGACGTGTCCCACCCAGAGGTGGAATTGGCTGCTGGAGAGCTGAAGGGCAAAACTGAAGGGGCAAAGATCAAAGGGCACCTGACCAAGGTCCAGATGTTAGATATCAAGAGGCCCAAGGTGGAGCTGAAGGACCCCAAGGTGGACATCAGCCTCCCTGAAGAGAATGTGTTGCTGCCCAAGGTTGATGTGGATGCCCCGTCTCCTGGGATCTCCATGAAGGGTGTGAAAGTGGAAGATGTCAGGATGGAAGACAAGGACATCAAGGCCAAGGAAAGCAAGTTCAAAATGCCCTCCATCAAGATGACATCCTTTGGCATGTCTGCACCAAGTAAGTCGATGGAAGCATCGGTGGACATGTCCCTGCCAGAGGCAAAAGCGGAAGTGTCCCTTCCCTCTATTGAGAGAAAAGTCAAGACCTGCGACCTCAGCGTTCAACTCCCTTCTGCCGACAAGGAAGGAAAGGGTGGTGAGGAGGGCGTGAAACTCCTCGTGGGCCAGCTGCCTGAGGGAGACCTCGCAGGACAGGCCGTGGGAGCCGGACTCAAAGGACACCAGCCTAAGTTACAGATGCCCGACATCAAGATGCCCAAAGTCGACTTTAAAGCCCCAGATGTGGACATTGAGGACCCTAAGGTGGACCAGAAGTGTCCCAAAAAGGACGTGAAAGGCCCCAAGGGGGAGGTGACCACCACAGTTGTGCAGGTGTCCATGCCTAGCGTGGAGATGGACATCCAGGCTCCGGAAAAGAATGTGGTCCTGGGAGATAAAGACTTGGCCACCAAAACCAGCAAGTTTAAGATGCCCAAGTTCAAGGTGCCATCCTTTGGTGTGTCTACGCCAAGCAAGTCTATTGAGGCCTCCATGGACGTGTCTCTGCCAGAGGCACAGGTGGACATGTCCCTCCCCTCCATTGAGGGAGAAGTCAAGACCAGTGACGTCAGCATTCAACTCCCATCTGCTGACATGGAAGTGAAGGATGGCAAGGTGGGTGTTAAAGACCCCGACGGCCTGCTGTCCAAAGAAGAGCTCACGGGACAGGCCATTGGAAGTGGTTTCAAAGGGCACCTGTCCAAGTTCCAGATGCCCAGTGTCACGGTGCCCAAAGTGGACTTCAAAGCCTCTCAGGTGGACGTCAAGGGACCCAAAGTGGACCTGAAGGGCCCCAAAGAAGACTTGAAAGCCCTTAAGGGGGAGGTGGCCTCCCCTGATGTGCACATGTCCCTGCCAAGCATAGAGGTGGACATCCAGGCTCCGGATGCCAAGGTGGAGGGTGACGTGTCCCTGGAAGACAAAGACTTAGTTATCAAAGACAGCAAGTTCAAGATGCCCAAGTTCAAGATGCCATCCTTCGGTCTGTCTGCACCAAGCAAGTCAATCGAGGCATCGGTGGACGTACCTCTGCAGGAGGTACAGGTGGATGTGTCCCTCCCCTCCCCCAGGGGAGAAGTCAAGACTGGTGACCTCAGCATTCAACTCCCATCTGCTGATGTGGAAGTGAAGGATGGTGAAGTGGGCATGAATCTCCCTGAAGGACAGTTGCCTGAGGGCCAGCTGCCCCAGGGAGAACTCACTGGACAGGCCATGGTAGAAGAATTCAAAGGGCACCTGCCCAAGTTCCAGATAACCAGTATCAAGATGCCCAAGGTGGACTTCAAGGCCCCTCAGGTGGACACCAAGGGCCCCAAAATGGACTTGAAGGGGCCCAAATTGGACATGAAAGGTTTCAAGGGGGAGGTGGACAACACAGACATGGAGGTGGCTCTGCCAAGTGTGGAGGTGGACATCCAGGCACCGGATGCCAAGGTGGAGGGTCGCGTGTCCCTGAGAGACAAAGACTCGGCCACCAAAGACAGCAGGTTCAAGATGCCCAAGTTCAGGATACCATCCTTTGGGGTGTCAGCTCCAGGGAAAGACTTGGGAACCTCTGTTGACTTGCCAGGGCCCAAAGTGGGTGTGGAATCTTCCCTGCCCTCCTTTGGAGTACAGATCGCACCTGCTGAGGGGAGCATCCCAGTGCCATCTGCTGACATCATCCCTCTAGGGGCTGAGTTGGATGTGTCTCTTCCAGAGGTGGAGGTAGCTGCTGGAAAGCTGAAGGGCAAAACTGAAATGGCAAGGATCAAAGGGGACCTGTCCAAGGTCCAGATGCCTGACATCAAGATGCCCACAGTGGACCTGAAGGGTCCCAAGGTGGACATCAGCCTCCCTGAAGTGGACATGTCACTGCCCAAGGTTGAAGTGGATGCTTTGGCTCATGGGATCTCCATGGAGGGCGGGAAAGTGGAAGGAGATGTCAAGATGGAGGACAAGACCACCAAGGCCAAAGAAGGCAAGTTCAAATTGCCTTCCATCAAGATGCCATCCTTTGGCGTGTCTGCACCAAGCAAGTCAACAGAAGCATCGGTGGACGTATCTCTGCCAGAGGCAGCAGTGGATGTGTCCCTCCCCTCCATCGAGGGAGAAGTCAAGACCAGCGACTTCAGCATTCAACCTCCATCTGCTGATGTGGAAGTGCAGGGTGGCGAGGTGGGTGCTAAGGTCCCTGAGGGCCAGCTGTCCAAAGGAGAGCTCATGGGACAGGCCGATGGAAGTGGTCTGAAAGGTCACCTGCCCAAGTTCCAGATGCCCAGTGTCACGGTGCCCAAAGTGGACTTCAAAGCCCCTCAGGTGGACATCAAGGGACCCAAAGTGGACCTGAAGGGCCCCAAAGAAGACTTGAAAGCCCTTAAGGGGGAGGTGGCGACCCCTGATGTGGACATGTCCCTGCCCAGTGTGGAGGTGGACATCCGGGTACCAGGCACCAAGGTGGAGGGTGACGTGTCCCTGGGAGACAAAGACTTAGTTATCAAAGACAGCAAGTTCAAGATGCCCAAGTTCAAGATACCATCCTTTGGTGTGTCTGTGCCAAGCAAGTCAATAGAGGCATCAGTGGACACATCTCTGCAGGAGGCACAGGTGGATGTGTCTCTCCCCTCCCCCAAGGGAGAAGTCAAGACTGGCGACCTCAGCATTCAACTCCCCTCCGCTGATGTGGAAGTGAAGGGCGGTGAAGTGGACATGAAGCTCCGTGAAGGACCGTTGCCTGAGGGCCAGCTGCCACAGGGGGAGCTTGCAGGACAAGCCTCGGGAGAGGAACTCAAAGGGCACCTGCCCAAGTTCCAGATACCCAGCATCAGGATGCCCAAAGTGGACTTCAAGGCCCCTCAGGTGGACACCAAGGGCCCCAAAATGGACTTGAAGGGGCCCAAATTGGACATGAAAGGTTTCAAGGGGGAGGTGGACAACACAGACATGGAGGTGGCTCTGCCAAGTGTGAAGGTGGACATCCAGGCGACAGGTGCCAAGGTGGAGGGTGACGTGTGCCTGGGAGACAAAGACTTGGCCACCAAAGACAGCAAGTTCAAAATGCCCAAGTTGAAGATGCCATCCTTCAGGGTGTCAGCTCCAAGCAAGGACTTGGGAAGCTCCGTGGACTTGCCAGGGCCCAAAACAGGTGCAGAGTCATTCCCCCACTCCGTAGGAGTGGAGATCACAGCTGCTGAGGGGAGCATCCCAGTGCCATGTGCTGACATTGCCCTATCAGGGGCTGAGCTGGACTTATCCTTCCCAGATGTGGAGGTGGCTGCTGGAGAGCTGAAAGGCAAAACTGAAGGGGCAAGGATCAAAGGACAGCTGCCCAAGGTCCAGATGCCCGACATCAAGATGCCCATGGTGGACCTGAAGGGCCCCAAGGTGGACATTAGCCTCCCTGAAGTGGATGTGTCACTGCCCAAGGTTGAGGTGGACGCCCCAGCTCCCAGTATCTCCATGAAGGGCGTGAAAATGGATGGAGATGTCATGATGGAAGACAAGGACATCAAGGCCAAGGAAAGCAAGTTCAAAATGCCCTCCATCAAGATGCCATCCTTTGGCGTGTCTGCACCAAGCAAGTCAATGGAAGCATCAGTGGACGCATCCTTGTCAGAGGCAAAAGTGGACGTGTCCTTCCCCTCCATCAAGGGAGATGTCAAGACCAGCGACCTCAGCATTCAACTCTCGTCTGCCAACAAGGAAGGAAAGGGTGGTGAGGTAGACGTTAAGCTCCCCGAGGGCCAGCTGCCTGAGGGAGACCTTGTAGGACAGGCTGTGGGAGCCAGACTCAAGGGGCACCTGCCCAAGTTCCAGATGCCTGACATCAAGATGCCCAAAGTGGATTTCGAGGCCCCCCATGTGGACATCAAGGACCCCAAAGTAGACCAGAAGGGCCCCAAAATTGACGTGAAAGGCCTCAAGGGTGAGGTGGCCACCACAGATGTGCAGATGTCCCTGCCCAGCATGGAGGTGGACATCCAGGGAATGGAAGATGACGTGTCCCTAGGAGACAAAGACTTGGCCACCAAAGACAGAAAATTCAAGATGCCGAAGTTTAAGATGCCATCCTTTGGGGTGTCAGCTCCGAGCAAGGACTTGGGAAGCTCCGTTGACTTGCCAGGGCCCAAAATGGGTGAGCAGTCATCCCCCCACTCCCTGGGAGTGGAGATCGCACATGCTGAGGGGAGCATCCCAGTGCCATGTGCTGACATCGCCCTATCAGGGGCTGAGCTGGATTTGTCCCTCCCAGAGGTGGAGTTGGCTGCTGGAGAGCTGAAGGGCAAAACTGAAGGGGCAAGGATCGAAGGACACCTGCCCAAAGTCCAGATGCCCAAGGTGGACCTGAAGGGCCCCAAGGTGGACATCGGCCTTCCCGAAGTGGACATGCCCCTGTCTAAGGTTGAGGCGGATGCTCTGGCTCCCAGGATCTCCATGGAGGGCATGAAGGTGGAAGGAGATGTCAAGATGGAAGACAAGGACGTCAAGACCAAGTACGGCAAGTTCAAAGTGCCCTCTTTCAAGATGCCATCCTTTGGTGTGTCTAGACCAAGCAAGTCCACTGAGGCCTCTTTGGATGTGTCTCTGCCAGAAGCACAGGTAGATGTGTCCTTCCCCTCCACTGAGGGAGTAGTCAAGACTGGTGACCTCAGCATTCAACTCCCATCTGCCAACGTGGAAGTGAAGGGTGGCGAGGTGGGCGTTAAGTTCTCCGAGGGCCAGCTGTCCAAAGGAGAGCTCACAGGACAGGCTGACGGAAGTGGTCTTGAAGGGCACCTGCCCAAGTTCCAGATGCCCAGTGTCACAGTGCCCAAAGTGGACTTCAAAGCCCCTCAGGTGGACATCAAGGGACCCAAAGTGGACCTGAA